ATTTGTGATACTCCTAGTGTTGCAGGCATCTATGGGCAATGGTGATGATTGACCTCCAGATGAACCGCCAGCTCGTATGTGTTATATACACATATAAAAAAGTCTTTGTTGAACACTGCAACGGGTAAATGATACATATTTTTCCCAGGGATCCGATTTATAAGACCGCGTTTCAATTATAGTCATATTGACAGTAGCGATTTAGGGAGCATCATTTTATCCGAAACCTAATCATGACATGGCGAATCCGCAACCAAAAGCGTCCCTAAATCCAAAGCTATTCGTATTAAAACTTCACCGAACATATACTCAGTTTTGTAATTCTACCACCAGCTCCCCCGTCGGTTTCCCATAAAAGTAACGAGTGCATATTGACATGACGGCTTATTGGATTATTGTGATAAGAAATAATATCGTAGGTATCGCTGAAACAAAGCCTTCCGGGTCAACAGACCGTGCGGGCTTACTAAGCACGTGAAACAAGGAAGAAAATAAAGAAATGGCCCAACTGTACCACGTAATATTTTATCCGACCGCAGGCATCTATTACGCTCGTGTCAGTCCGCTAGGGCCCTTGCGAACGACAAAAAAAACAAATCTGTCTGATCGCACACGGGTTAGGTTTATTGCATGGTATTTCATCAGCTCGTTCCTCTATTACTAAGCAGCATTTGAATTTAATAATCCATGTATGTTATGAATTACTCGGTTAATGAGAACAATTTTTTGAAAGAAAAGTAACTCTATATTTCATAACTTGAAAAGTATATGCTTTGGCCACAGCAATTTAGCATTTATTGTATTTAACATTTAATTAAAAGTGTGATGTATTTTTAATTTCCTTTACGCTACAGTAAAATGTGTTTAAGATACAATGCATTTTTTCAACCGAAGTTTTCATCAGTGCAGTGCATTTTAATCTGTGAAAGCAAATATTCTTTCAGATTACTTTTGGAAATTTCCTAAAATAGATGCGACACGTCATGAACTATGGAAACATTTTAATAACATACGCTATATAATCTGTTTGAAAATATTTATAAATAAATGCTATATATAAATTGTATCTATGACTATACTATTTCGGAGTATTTATTTTGGCCTCAAGTATAATCGTGTTACATTTTTCGGCAAACTCGAATAAGTTATTTAGTACTACAATAAACTTATCACTTCCATTTGACCAACTCCATCCAACCAATCCAACTGACTTGTTTTTCGTTCAGTTGCGTAGATACTTACATCCCAGAAATTATCAGAAGCATTATCGAGAAATGCTGTTTCTTAACACCATGTGAATATGTTATTAAAGCTCAGATTTCCCAAAAATTAAAATATCCGTTAAATAACTTTTGAGAATTAATAACTAAACCTAAACATATGCAAAAACGTACAAATAACCCCATTACAAAAACAATATTAATATGCGCGTGATATTAATAATTTTAATTGATATGGGCGTTGAGATTAGCTTAGAAAATTTAATAAGCTATAGCAAGCTTTATATTATTAATCATACTTAACAAAATGAAGTCGCTCAAAGCTTTGTCCTGACCGCTATTTGCGGCAGGCTTTCAAAGTCGTTAGTTATTATCAAGCTTTAATGGATACAAGGTTTTAATATATGAATTTTATTATTACAAGAAAATAGCTGATTACTTTCGAAAGTACTTTTTGTCTTTAAGGTCTTGGTTTGAATCTTGTCAGAGGATTTGTTTGTGTTATGTGCGAAAACATTTGTGCATAAGCCAGATTGTTGAAAACTTATTCATTTTATTTAAATACACGTTGACGATGCTACTTTCGGCATTAATCAGTGGTTCACAGTGAATGTTCGGAAACAATAGTGATGACGCCACTACTCCCTATACCTCGCTTTAGAAATCATGCTTTTGCACAAACACTGCTGCAAGCAAATCCCAAGCGGTGAATGAATTAGTGAGTTAGTCAATTAATGAGTTAGTAGCATCACAAAATAGTGACTGACGTAGGGGGTTATGGCTTTAACACAGTTAAGAATAACAAAAGGAAGTCTCATGGCCCTAGAATTTTTTACTTGGTCCATGGAAAGCTCGTACAAGCTTCCTATATGCAGTCACCGCTAAGGGACAGCTCACAATGCTGAGTCCAGTGTAATGAGGTGCCGCTGGGAATATTCTAATTTACCAGTTATACTCATTATAAAATAGGAATGTTCCCAATTTTCCGAATACCTTGGGAATATTTCCGAGAGAATTCCCAGTGAAAGGCCAACATTCCCAGAAACGATGCATACTAGTCCAGTGATACCCATAATGCTACTGGACTGCATTACTCTACAAAAGAAGTTCATAGAGTAATTGTGGGTCAAAATCAAGTTATTGCAGGCAAATTTAAATTCAGATTCCAACAATGCCAGCCGAAAATTTGATAACTTTCATGAAGGATAAGGAGGAAAGGAGCGACTATAACCGAAAGGTATTATTTTCTGGCAGTTCGGAGGACTACTATCAGATACCATTCTGTCCCGTAAATTAGGTTTTTTACTAACGTAGTTTATTAATATCCGGCAATGGAGCAAGGTAGCTGCGTGAGAAAATTTCAGTTACCATATTCTAAGTTTACCTTTTGATTCCAAAACACCATGAAAATTCCTAAAATAAAACCAAAACGACGTTTCTTCACAGCATACTGTTTTTTTCAATTCATTCTTCTTACACTCACTTGAAGTAATGAAAAATGATAGTCTTTCGCCGCTTTGCTCATTGATTAGTTTCGGTGCTGAGCAAACAGTCCGATGGCACCACAAAAGGACGTCCACAATCCACGTCGGCCACTCTCGTTTCCCATTCGTTCCGTTGTCCAGAAATTTTCGCAATAAAATTAATCGTTCCAATAAAATTGGAGCCGAATAGATCCGGCCATGCATGAACACTTTTTAATTGGGTCACTTTTTTGCTTCTTTTGCAGGCAACCAAACGAGAAATCGAATTGAGTCGAGCTACTTCCAGAGTTAGGGGCGAGTTCGACTTTCAAGATCTCCAAGTAGTTCCTTGGATGAATTAGTGAGTTCCGAAGTGCGGTATCGAGTTAACCCGTTATTTATCTACAAACAGTGTTCGCTGTTTCAATAATTGATGCGGTCGACTCTGGCTGAGTTTTAATTTAACTTTGTGAATTACCCCCGGTTGAAACATAGCTATATTGAGCGCTCTCAATCAAAGTGAGCAATTTGTTGCGTGTAAACGCAGCCCTCGATGGATTGCATAAAATCAGACAAAAAACATGGAATAACAGAGTCGCGGCACAAACGAAAATATATCTTCCCATTTTCATTTTCGACAAGCAATCGGGTTTAATGGGTTGAGCCCGATTCCCACTTGAGTTTGTTCGATTTGTTTCATTTGATCGCTTCGGCGATTCATGGCGAGGTGTGGCTGGGAATGGCTGTAATAAAAGCTGGTAGAGTGCGAATCAAAATCACGTATTATGGATTACATCGCACTAATCAAACTGTTTCACTCGTTTGGATATTCGAAGTTGGTACAATTCTTTTTAAGTTTAAAGCTAGTAAAATATGATTGCAAAAGCTTAAAGTATGATTTTATAACAATTTTTAAAGTTATAGAGGTACTCAATTAAAAAAAACGGAGCCCTTATAGGGTCACTTTGTCATCCGTCTGTCTGTCAATACCTTTTTATCCATGGTACGTGTGGAGGTTACGTGTTGAAATTTAACAGTTCTACAGTACCTTGAAGGTGTGAAAAAATCAAACTTCTAAGTTAACGTAAAAAAATACGGCCGTTTATGTTGCGTACATATTTATAAGGAACTTGCACTTGTCCGTTTTTTTAATAGAAGCTGTATTTTAATTATCATTGATAGTTTTACATACAATAAAATGAAATGTTAGTGAAAAAAAGAGAGTTGTTTTCATAGGCATTCTTGATATGTGTAATAGTCTATTAGCTTTATGGATTCAGAGATTTCATGATAAGCGAGCCAAACCATTAGCCAGTAAGTGCTTTTATTTACCAATAATAACAAATCTCAAGGAATATTTATTAATAATATTTTTGAATAACTCGGTATAACCATAATTTGCCATCCTCCTTTGGATTAAGTAGTATGTACACCGGTTTGTAAAGTGTTGCTTTTTAGAGGTCCTGGGTTCTCATCCCGGAGAGGTAAATATTTTTATAATAATACAATCACTTCTACTTAAGTAATGGCTGTTCATATGATGATGTGATTCATGTTTACCGATACATGGAGATCGCTTTAACACAGTACTCGTATATTTAAGTATTGGCCCAACCGATAAACTTGCCCTAAGTCTTTTAGGAAACAAATGCAAATAAATTCCAATTGCTCTTAATCGTGAAGACCGAATTACGCAAGATAAATGCAGGTTAGACAAAATGCTTTGGGATTTCTGCTTTTTCATTAACCATTTTAGGAAGTCACAAAATTCATATGGAACGTGTTTGTCGGTTATTATAACAAAATTTATGGAAGAAGAATTTTGTTGATAGCAGACACAGATCGCATTTGTTATTACTCAGTAGCAATTCTGTGAAATTTTTAATTATCCACCCATTACGGTTCATGACTTGAGATATAAACATACAACGGAGGCTTATAAAAAGAGTTCCATTATAACTCTTATACTATGGTACCATAAAAACTCTCATAGAATATTATAAATAAATAAATTTCGTCAGTATTTTCAAGAACGCGTGGCATATCGCTAAGTTCGTAGTATACTACTTCTAATATAGTAATATATAATTCTATAGTTTCTGTCATATATCATTTTGAGAAACCGTCATGATAAAACATAATATATACGAAAAACAGAGTGGCGATAAATTATGAAAATAAACGCTTGGGTTAAATTAGATACAAAATACGATGCGCTTTTATTTTCCTAGTTAAGTTTAAACACTATAATGGTATGTGTCATTGTACTAATTGTTGAGTTCTTTTACTAAATTATGAAGCTTAAAGGAGAACTTACCCAAATCTTCGGCATCCTCACTCCACTCGCCCTCTTGCGCCCAGCAAGCAGCCAATAACACAACTAGACGCCACTTTACCGACCACATTGTACTAATTACTTATCACATTATGAAGTCACAAGAAATGTACGCACACCACTTCATAACATTTTCAAAGTTTCACTGGAGCACTAAATGACGAGACATTCCGATAACTCCATCTCACTGCCACCAGGTAGCATGTTTATTTTTTTAATAAAACAAAAGCGTTCGGCTTATATACAGCCTAGATGACGTTTCTGCAACCCAGGGATCTGAGTTTGCAATAACACGAAGAATAAACAAAAATAAACTGAGCCCCGCCGTATGACTGAGTTCAGATTATTTTTCCATTATCTTTTTTTATTATGAAAGGCTTGTGGCGGCGTATTGGTTTGATATTTATATATTTCTCTCTCTCTGGAGATTATCTTTAGAATGAAAAGAGTGTTTGTCTTAATAACTTATGATGTGGTACTATAATGGCTAGGTACTCAATTACCTTATCTGGTTCATTGATTACGAAAACCGCGGGCAGGATGCCTGAGCTTCAAAAATAAATCAACACTTTAGTTTTTTCACGAAAACAATTTAGTAGAGCGGTTATCGGTAGAGCCTGTAAGCGTTTCTTCTTTCATTTTAAACTTATAAGAAAGATAGAAAAAATGTTTATTCAGTACCATGACCATTATGATAACATACATAATACATACACAAGTAATAAACATGATGCTGAAAAGGTATCTACTCAGCATAATGTCGGAGCATCTAACGATGCTTCGACGCTGGTCTTCCGCAGATACCTACTAATATTAAGTAACGCTATATAAATTACTGTAGAAACGAATATTATTGACGAACACCCCTCAGAACTTCTGTAAACCATATACACTGAACATATTAAAATAATAAAAAATAAATAAGTTATATAGTAAACTAGGGAAATCAAGCCAAGTACCGAAATTATGGATTAGATTCAGGTATATAGAACATGTAGATTAACAGATAGTTGCCTGTTTTTAAAGTTAATTCATAAGAGTAACTTTTAAAATCAGGTGTCATTTCCGGTTATAATAAGGTAGGTACTCTGTGACAGAAACTGTGTGATGATTGTGAATGAGCCACAGATTAGAGAGAATTTTTAAACTCTCGTTAACCAAAGAAAGCTAAGGGATTTAGGTTCTATAGCCATATATTCAGTAGCTTCATTACTTTTCTTATGTTTTTAAGATAACCATATTTTAGATTTTTAGTGTATCACACCTTATAATTTTATTTATTTATTAATTTATAGTCAGGGAACGTAGGCCCATAGATAGATACCTTAAAGTCTAACATATATACAGATTATAATGTATTTATGGAGGTGTTTGGCGAAAAATGTATGGCAATAGATTTTATGATGTCGCCTACCATTTATAATAATAGTCTGAGCACATTTGCATCTAGTGAAAATGATAATATAGTTGTGGATATTAATACCACAGTGTAATAAAAAAAATGATTTATTTTATCGATCTTTACAACATAGATTTGTTTTTATGTTATATAAAACTTCGATCAGTCTTTGGCTGAATGTTACTACACCCATAGCCATTAAAAATGATTCGTATGTTTTCCAAACCGGTAAAATTAAAAGTCCTTTTTAAAGTAAATATATTATACAAAGGTGTCCGTTGAAATCTAATGACTGTAAATCAAATTATAAATTACGCCAAGAATTACCGTGTATGTCAATATTTTTTGTGCATTTAGGCCAATTTGAGCAATCTCCTTTATTTATAAGTGTAAAACTGTGGATAATATATAATGAGTAATAATAATCTATAATGAAATGGAACGTAACACAATATAAAATGGAAGCACAGGAACATATACATGCATATATCTACACAAATACCATATATAGGGATATTACACATGAATGATAAATACATATCAAACAATAAATATGAATACATACAGGTTTTAATGAGTGTCCTTTTGCATTTTAAGTGAATAATACTTATATTTATATTTAAAAGTACGTATCGTGGTATCTTTTATATAATATTATTTTGTATATCAAAAAGTCAAACAAATTAAAGGTGTTTTTGAAAATCCTTCTTACTGTACAAAAACTACAGAGTAATCTTATTTGTCTGTCTAATGGTGAGCGCTACGAGTTGAGCCAAAATCCTATGTATCTATTCTCTTAACATAATCTGTTTTCATAACGTATCAAAGAATGAATATTCAAGGGAAACATCATAGCTCCACATTATTAATTATTCCCTTAAAATTGGTTGATCTCAGATTGTCTAAGTCACAGTGTGACTTACCGCCATTAATGACTATATCGCAAAATGACTGCATATCATTTCATCTAGATCGTTAATTGAAGATTGTAAAATGACTAGATCTTTATTTCACTACATCTCATAATGACTAGGTCGCAAAATTACTATTTAGCTTATTTTTTTACATTGTGTTTTGCTACATAATTGTACAGTCAACTACACAATTTCTGATAATAACCCTTAAATAAATTATTATCATTAGTGGTATAATATATATATTATTATCATTAGTTACGTAAATTAACACATAATAATATAATTTTGAAACTAAATATTTTCTTATCTCTCTAAATTTAAACTAAAATTCTTCTTATTTTACACACGAACAATATTTTACAATACTACATACACCATATTATATGGAGCTTCTGTTTTTAGTTTAAGTATGAACTTTATCGGACTAGTCCTTTGCTGTAGCCGAACACCAATACGTCAGTGCCATGCATCTAGACCTAGAGCCTAGAACATAAGTGGTTTTGTCTTTCAACAGCAGGACATCAAAGACGAGTTTTTAACCACCACTGTTATAAATATTGATTTACATAAAATGTATACAATAGAATAACTTAAGAGAAAAATAACATCGCCGCCCAAGTATGCTAACTCTTTTTAAGTTTTTATGTAATCCGTAAAACAGTACTAGAAAAAATACGATCGATAATATGTTGTGCAAAAATTGGTGTCTAATATTTTTTTATGAAATGTGAGTGAATATTTTTATTTAATTTAATCAACCACTTTATTTATTAAGTTCTCTGTCAATGTTCTGTCAATTTATTAAATATTTCTGACAGTCTTCTATCTCATACATTCACTTAATTATTGGTATAATACCTATCTTTTTAAATCTCTCTCTATATATATATATCTCTCTTTAATATAATTATATACATATGTAATAATGAGATTTAAAAAGAGGTATGATTTTTAATGATAATTTTTAATATTATCTTTGTAAATAAACTTTGTTCTGACAATAACAAAAAATCGGCCAAGTGTGAGTCGGACTCGCAAACGAAGAGTTCCGTGTTTCGTACCAGTATCTATACAACATCTAACATCGAGCAAAAAACGGCAAAAATCACGTCTGTTGTATGAGAACCCTCCCTTAATTGACTTAATTTTTAGTTTTTGTTATTATATTAACTGTAAAAATTTCAAGTCTCTAGCTATCACGATTCATGAGATACAGCCTGGTGACAGATAGGCAGACGGACATACAGACAGATGGAGAGACAAACAGACGAATAGACACGGTTTTTACCCTTCCGGTAACGAGTTTTACGGCATTTCATTTTATTTCAAGAGATTTTATACTTAACTGTGCTAGTATATGTAGTCATTCAACCTTTATAGTCATTTTGCGACCTAGTCATTGTGAGATGTGGTCAAATAAAGATCTAGTCATTTTGTGATCTTGAGCATTTTGCAATGTAGTCAATTAATATAGATAAAAGACGAAATTATAATATGTATTTATTTTTGGATAAAGTCATTCATGGGGGTTAGTCACGCTGCGACCTAGAGAATCTGAGATACGAGTATTAAAATTATTAACAATTACTCAAAGGGTTAAAACGACTTTGTCAAGAATGGCTTAGGTTCTCGTTCTAATAAGTGTAGGCATTTTAAGTAGATTACTTTTTCTGGTAATATGTTATCATGAATATTTCGCACCAATCAGCACCCTTCGCTATCTGGGCGCTAAATCTCCATGCTACCGAGACCCCATGGACGCGCCGAGCTTCCCCCGGCCCCTCCTGGGCTGCAAGGCAGCGCCACTTATAAGCCGGCGGAGCCCAGGAATTGCCGGAGAATGCCGACGCTGCCCGACGCCGCGCGGTCTCATGAGACCGCTTCGGTTTTGAAGGACATTTCTAACTGAAGAACTTAAAAACAAAGCGCCTTCTGGACGCAATAACCAATAAGATCTCGGTAGCATAATTGGTTAATACATCTACCCGGATAGCGGGAGTTGCAGGTTTGAATCCTGTCTGATGTCTGGACACGGTGGATATTTTCTGGTGTTTTTTTTTATCTTTATATTGACTTTCGATATTTCGTGATCTTCATTGTCGATCTTAATCTAACTTGTGTAGTTTCACAAATAAATATCGATTTCAACAGTAAAGGTTAGAGACCATGTAACTTTGCCACTCATTTCACTTGGAGTGTGATAAACTGCGAAACGTGCAGGTAAGTCTCTCTTTGAAGGTCAGGTGGGTACCATGTTTTTGATAGTAGGTCGATCGTTCAGTGGGTCCAAGACCAAATAAGGGAAGCAACACTTATTTCTTTTATCTATGATTTTTTCATATGTGATAATGTGATGGCTTGCTTATAAGACTGAATGACTTTCCTCGTAGTGTGACCTCAGCCTTAGGAATTCAACGGAGTTTAAAATTTGTCACGTACACAGTAATGAATTTAATAAAGTAGCATGAACGCTGTGAGAAAGGTGCAAGATGTTCCTACCTAACCGACTAGGGTTATCAGAGTAAAAAAAGGAGGTTTCCTACTAATATGAACATTTGTATCTAATTTTAATTTATTACCTTTTTTACATGTGCAACAAATTTGCAACAAGCGCTTCGTCTAAACATAATATTATATGTAGTCGCTATCGCGTCTATCTGTATATCCGATAACTCCTCTTGAATCACGCAATATATTTTGATGCAGTTTTTATCAACTACTGGTTAGATATTTTTTCATTTAAAGTTTAAAAATGTATGGAACAAGCTTAAGAGCAAAACCTTTAGCCTAAATGAAACTTAAGCGAAGTATAGGTGGGTCACTAGTCATTCCTACTATTGAAAAATGTGAAAGTTTGTATGTTTGTCACTCAGTCACGCAAAAACGGCTGAACGGATTTGGATAAAATTTAATAAAATTCCGCTCTAAATGGATCGCCTGTCTGGGGAAGTTCCCTCCAC